CTCCTTCCCCTCATCAAAGACGGCCCGTGTGATCCCCAACACCTTTGATCGTCTTTTCTTCCCTCCCACCCTCACAAATCTGTCTTCTTTCTTTCCCTACCCTCACAAAATCTGTCTTCTTTCTTTCCCCTACCCTCACACAATCTCGCCTTCCTTTCACCCCTCGGCCGGTCACAAATCTCCCGCCATTGTTTCTCTCGAGATCTCCGAATCTGGGCCCGTTCTCACTGCGCACCTCCCGGTAAAAATTAATTACAATTCTAATGCGAAAATCGATAGCCGGCCCTTAAGCAAAAACAAAAACAGATCTGGCCACCGCCAGGGGGGTGCCTGTGGACCGCGACAGAAGGCGCGCCAGATTTCGGCCACCACTGGTCATTTGGTCACTCCAGGTGACCGATCGATTGTTTACCCCGTTGCCATGGAGATCAAAGGTTAGGGTGGAAATCTGCGAGGGGGTCGCAAGGGGTCATGTCCGGTTGAGGGTACTTGCAAAAACAAAAAGTAGAGACAGAAGGAGACAGACAGACTTGAGAAAGAAAGGAGGAGGAAGAAAAGGAGAAGCTGTGTTGACCAATAATAGGGCTCTCTCTCTCTCTCTCTCTCTCTCTCTCTCTCTCTCTCTCTCTCTCTCTCTCTCTCTCTCTCTCTCTCTCTCTCTCTCACACCCCCGTGTGGAACAGTTCTCACAGCTAGCTTAGCTTACTACGTTACTCATTTTCTGACTCATCATATGGTACGGGTGGTTGGCGAGTGCTCTGCTCCTTCTGTCCTAGCTGTCAAACACCTATCGTCACTACCTCCCTCTTCGTTCTTTTTATGTTTATTACTCTCTCCTTGTTTTTTTCCTATCAAACGCCTATCGTCATTACATCTCTTTATTCTATTGTTCAATATTTGTCACTCTCTTCCTGTTTCTTTCCTATAAAACGACTATCGTAATTACCCCTCTTCGTTCTTTTTTATGTTTGTGACTCTCTTCTTGTTTGTTTCCTGTCAAACGCCTATGGGGGCTCTCATGTCCTAGAGGTTAAGGTGTTGGCCTCTCATTCAAAGGTCCCGGGTTCGAATCCGTAGGCGACCGAAAAATTTTCTTCTCTAAATTTGTCCCCTCACCTCCTTTGCCCCCTCCTCTGGGCTCCTGATTCTTTCTGCAGCCTTTCTACTGCTACTCCTTCGCTTCTTCTTACTGCTGTCTTTCAGCCACACCCCTGATCTTCTGATAGGAAAGATCTACACCTAGCCTTCTCGGACAAGGGCGAAAAATCTCGGAGGGCCCGTGTGCAAGTTGCGCACGTTAAAGATCCCTTGGTGGTCTAAAAT